TTTTTGGCTGGATATAAGATCTAAAAACTTGGTAAAATGGACAGTTTTGCAGTGTATTAGTGATATCAATCACCAATTTGCAAACAAATGACAGGAAAACTGATAAAGTCTGTTCTGTTGTTTGAAGAGACCCGCTAGACTGGAGTTAAATAGGGTAACCTGAGTGCCAGTTTCTGTATAGGAGTCATTTACTGCATAATGTCCACTATGTTTAAGGTAGTTTAATAAGATCATATTTGTGATTCCAATAGATCAAGACTAAGGAAAAAAGTAACAACACAGCACTGTGCAAAAGTCTTCAACTCTTATTTGTTATTTTTCCTTGCAGAAGTTGAGTTTTTTATTTTGTAATTCATTGCAGGATTTCTACAAATTCGCCAAATATTTTCTTCTTCTTCTTTTTTTTTTTTTTTACAAAATACACTTCCAGTGAAAACAAATATAATAAGAGTACAGAACTGTAAAACAATTGCATCTAAAACTTGAAGACAATACTCTATCTTTAACACTGACACACCCTTACTTAACAGAAAGAGGTATTAACTCTGAGAGAACCTTTCCAGAACTAAATGTTCTTTTCACAGGACACTGAACACAAAGCAATTAACTTTCTGATGACAGGTGAAATTATTCAGGAAGTTTATGTTGGAAATCTCATGATGATGATGATGATGAGTTGAAACTTTTCACATTTAAAGCTGTTACAAAAAGGGATTCAAAGTTCAAAGTCAAAGGGAGTTGTGTAGTTAATACAGTCATAAAAACTAAACTTTCTGCATTTATTTATTCATTTATTAGGACTTCAACAAATATGATGTTCTAGACCAGGGGTGCCCAGTCCTGGTCCTCGAGGGCCACTCTGTCTTGCATGTGTTAGGTTTTTCTGCTTTAGCACACCAGTTTTGAATGAATGGGGGATTACCAGGCTTCTGTAGAACTTAAAGAGGCATCAGGATCACAGAATCAGATGTGCTGAAGCAGGGAAACAAGTACAACATGCAGGACAGTGGTCCTGGAGGACCAGGATAGAAACCTGCATTTCTGGATCAAATGAGAACAGAAAACTCCAAAAAGTGCTTTTACATGCAGTATTTCTGCAGAACTGCTGAGTTTATGTAACCACAACTGTTGCAGCATTATTTTATTCAAACTGGGATAAAAGACATATCCAGAACACCATCAGGCGGTTTAGTGTCTCTGGCACATTATGACTCAGAGGGGACTTATTTGACAGGATTGTGGGGGAACATCAGACAAAAAGCAGCTTCAGAGGAGAGAAAAGCTAAATGGTTGATATGATGAGCAACCATCTTGGTTCTTGTATTTCAAATCATATTCAAATCAACCTGCTTGTATTCAATATAACAAAGGCATTACATAAGAGCAGTGTCCCGATGCCAGCATTTTTACAAAAACTTGTACAAAACACCCTGATCAATCAGTACTAAAAACACAATAAAATGTTTAATAGTTTGCAAAGGTACAACAAAAGCACAGCAAAGTTTGAGAAAAAACTGGTATCAGGACACCGCTACATAATAACCAATCAAACAAGATATATTTTCAACCATCAGAGTAAAAAGCAACAAGGTGATTGTTTTATGCTGAATCAATAAAACACTAACCTACTTTGTTAAAGTACCCATTATGGTAAGCTTTCACCATTAACAAGTTATTTATAAATTGTCTTTCTAAGCTTTTGAAAGCGTGCTCTCATGAGCTTTCTCGAGCATATGGTATGTTATTTCAGTAACAATTTTAGATGTTTATTTCTTAACCATTAAACTGCATCTCAAACTCAATGTGAACAATCAAACAAATTTAATCAACACTGTAAACACAAAACCCTGACTGAGTTCCAAAGATTTTAGCTGGCAGACACTTGTATGTAGTGCTGCTTTTATTCAAGTATTTCATTTTATTTTTAATTTTTGCAATGGATCGTAAAATTGCCATGGAACAAAGTTTAAATAGCAGCTATTATTTTTGCCCTTTTTAAAAAATTATAAACATTGTGGGCAACATAGCTCTTTAGGAGACAATAAGTCAGGGGTATTTAACTAAATTCAGGGACCCCAGATAACAGCTTGGGGATCGATGTGTTGTAGGGGGCTTGTTGGAAGGTTAAACACTGCAGCATGTAACAGAACAAGTATCACTGTCTTTTACCTTTTAGATTTATTTATTTTGTTGAACTTGATTTTTGTATTAAATTAGAAGAAAAAAAGAAAAAATTATTGGTGGACCAGATGGAATCACCTGCGGGCCGGATGTGGCCCGCCAGCCACCAGTTGAATAGCCCTGCAATGAGGTAAAAACACTGAAACATTCTCCTTGATTATTAGCTTTATACAAAAAGATCATCCCAATTAATCTAGAGTCCAATCAAAATGTAATTTGCAACAAAAAAGCAGCGTTTTCTGAACTAAACACATTTAAAACTGTGACTTTAAAGCAACTTACATAATAAAAAAGAGCTGGTTTCAGTTTGCAAGGAAGCTTGATAAAGAAGTGAGGAAAGTTCAGTGCACAAAAAATCTGCTCATGAAGACCTCGTTTTCACTTTTATTATAAAGACTTTTCAGTCTGGGAGTGACTTTACAAAAGAAATCAGTTGATACACTGTTGCTAGCTCACATTTCAATGCATCTGTCAAGCAAAAACTCCTCAGAGACAAACGCACAAAAGTGTCTGCTAGAAAAAGACAGATGTCATGGTAACTTCACTATCTTAACATCTCGATTTGTGTTAGTTTTTTTTTTTCAAAATGAGTCAGCCGAGAGAGGAATGAACTCATTTACTGCAAGCAATTATACATTATAAAAGAAAACATCATGACAAAATGTAACCTTTTGAAAATACATGTCGATTACCAAAAACTAATTTCAATTAAAAAAAGAAAGAATAAAAACACTTGATGGCTCTTTTTTTTTTTTTTTTTTTTGAGCTGGCAGATTCTTTAGACAGCCAATCTGCCTTGAAACGTTGGGCCCTTGAGGCGGTGCACTCAGCTTATCAACATGATTCATCTTCCTGATTACACGGTGAGTCTTTGGGCCCTGAGCTGTGTCTGAAGGCTGGAACCTGCTGGTGCTGGAGCGGAGCACGCAGAGGGGGGATGATATTCATCTATTCTTATTATTCAGGTTTTTTATTTATTTATTTTTCTCTGGAGGTTTAGCAAATGAAATGGTGCAGTAGTGCAGAAAAACACGGTTTAGTTACTGTAATCTCACCGGACACTTCATTAGGCACACTTGTTCAGAAGCTCAACTCAATGCACATGATGACACAACGAAGACTTCTTCAAACCCAATTTTAGAACAGGGAAAAAAGGTGATTCAAGACTTTGAATGTGGTGTGGCTGTTGGTGGTTGGTCTGTGCAGAACTGTGATTTTCACACACAACCATGAGTTTAAAGAGAATAAAGTGAACAACAGAAAACATACAGTGAGGTGAAAGGCAGAGGGGAATGTGCAGACTGGTTTGAGATTATTAAAACAGCCACAGTGGCTCAAATTACCTTGAAAAACATCTTCTGCTCTGATGAGTCATGATTCTCAACGGATTCACCGGATGTCCATCCGTTATAGCCGTGGTTCTCGGGACCCTACTGTGGGCCCTGAAACATCAAGGTGGGGTCATAAAAGCATTGCCAGAATTACTTACGTTTTAAAATGTCTACCAGAGCCGGCTCTTGGCATAGGCGAACTAGGCAGTTGCCCAGAGCGCCATCTGCTGGAGGGGACGCCAAACAGCAGAAGAAAAAAAGTAATTATTTGTAGTCCCTGGTTGTAACTCTGCTCAGTGCCCCTTTCAATTACCTTTGTCTTAAAAAACTATAATGAAGTATTACAGGAAAAATGAACAACTCTGCCCATAAAACATACAACTCGCACCTGCGCAGGGGGGAAGTGGGGGGGACGTGAAATTGCCTGCTGCGAAGCAGGAGGAAAGGAGAGCAGAAAAAGTTCAAAACTTATTTTTACCGGCAGAACAGGTTGGAAGATGGATATTTAATGTTATTTATTGGTTTTTTAAATCATCCTAAAGGCTCTGACATGTTAGATAAATTTGAAAATGAGGTTTTGAAAAAATCCGTAAGACTTGAAAATCCGTGAGATTGCTCTATACGTCCATATACCTGCAAAATGATGTAAAATCCTTATAACTTACAATCTGTACAAGTTGACATGTATGTTGTTATTTATTTGCTTTCTGGGAAAGCAAATAAATGTAAGTTTACACTGTCA